GTAAGAAGAAGGCCCAACCCAGGCTGAAGCAACTTCGACTTGCTCATTAATGGTGTCTAAAAGTTAGATGTGAAATTACTAATTTGTTAATCACCAAAATCAACAAATAAAAAGTCTAAAGACATTTTGGTGTTATTTTACGAATTTAGCTATTCTCCAATATATATATTTTTTATTTTTTTCAGAGTGGATCACCCTCCATTAATGAGTAAGAAACTAACTTACATATAATGAGTCTTACTTAAATTCATAATTAATAATCTATAATAAAAAAATATTAAAAGGGATATAGAACTTCTCACGTTACTACATTTTCGGGCCTACTTTCTAGCCTATATTGTCAAATTCTAGTGCAGTTTAATCTTTCACAAAACTCAAAAAGTAATATTATACAAACTCCTATACAAAATGATATACTCGGATAGTATTCTTTTATATAAAGAATAATATTAGATGGACTTAAAAATTAGACTTGATAATCTCAACCATTAAATAGGTAGTGAGTCTCAATAAATGCTGAGACCCACAATAAAATCAATGATTGAAATTATCAAATCTAATTTTTAAATCCATGTAACATTGTTCTTATATAAAACAACACAAAAAATAAGAATATTCCTATGATATGATTTTGTGAAAAAAAAATTGTCAACAATGACCATTATCTGTACAAATTGTCAAATAGTCATTGTTATCCATCATGGTCCATGAGGGAGAGGGAGAGGGAGAGGGAGTTTCAAACGTCCAATCAACTTGAACTTTCTCTAATGCACATTACACGCCAGGATTTGACCGCTGTACTGACAAATAGAATTCGGTTACTTTAAAATTTATTATTTTAATAAATATTTTTATAATTAAAAAATTTATTATTTTTGTAAGCGATCGAAAGATTTTTTTTATCACTATTATAATAACTATTTTTTATCACTTTTATTCGATACAAAAAAATTATCACTCTTGTGTGGATAATTTATTAAATTTGCAAGTGTTTTTATCACGGTTGTTATAATTTTTTTTATAATTTTTTTTGGTACCAAAAAAGTAATAAAAATAACTATAATAATAATAAATATATCCACAAATATAATAAATAGGGATATGATTTTAATTTGAGCACTTACATGCCAACTAAAACATACAAACATCTTCCATCAATGTGTACCAGCTCATCAACCTCTTTTCAACATGAAAATTCTTTTTGCTATCTCTGTCTGGTAAGGCAAACAAGGAAAAAAAAGTGTCCCCATATCTCTAATTTTCTTAGCACCTTTTATCCACAGAATCACCATTATGACCAAGACTTGAAACAGATTTTGATGGAACCATTTGCCTCCGTTGGCAGCGCCGATCACGGCAATGCCGGCGACCAAAAAGCTTTAAAAGCATTTACGTGATAAACTAATTTTCAAACTGAGTAGTTGGTAGATAAGATGCAAGTATTAATTAATGTATTAGGAACATTGTGTGGAGTAGCAATCCCTTGTCATTGTCCACATGATGAGCCACGTGGAGTGAGACTATGAGAACAAAGCCCTTGGGTGATCAGAAGCTTTTCTGTAGGTGGAAGCAAGCCTTCACAATGAGGCCACGAGGCAAGTTAATGACTTCATCTTCTTTTTGATGATAAACAATTTTTTTTTCTTTCAAGCCCCGACCCTTAGTACAAAAGGAACGAGAACGACGAAGGGGCTATTGCGAAGTAGCAATGAGAATCGAACCTAAGTCAGGGTTCTAGGAGGGCAACGATTATGAAAACGGGCTACTCCCGTTGGCGGAGCTAGTAGAGGACCAAGGGACATAGGCCAACCTTGAATATTTAAACAAAAATTATTATCTATATATATTTCAAATAATTTTGATATATTTTATGGTGTTCACCCAATATATTTTTTGTTAAATCTATCAATTTCATGTCCTATTAAGTAGTATAGATAAATATCTAATTAATTATAAGTTTTTGGACGCATTTTACACTTTACGAACACATTAGACAAGTTTTTGAGATATGAAATTCATTTTTTAAAGTTATGAAGATTCTGAGGACTAAGTTGTATAATTTAAATAGTGTTTTAATTACTTATATATAAAAAGATATTCTCCATGTTATGAATAATGAAGTCGTCATACAATGTTGTTAAAGTATAAAAACTCATTGAAATCAATTATAAATAATTGCAATTAGCCTATTTCATTATTTTTCTTTGTATACACTATGTGGAAAGATGTTTAGCCATTTTATATCTAATAAATGTTTGAATATCAAATAGAATATAATAAGTCTAAATATTATGTTTTTTATCGAGGGAAAGAAAAAAAATTTAAGTTTATAGTTAAGGTGCTCACTCTGAACAAAATTTTTGACTCCATTCCCCTTTTCTCGTTATTCATGTGTGTAATGATATTTGTATTGCATATTGTACGACTCAAAAGGAGGGGGGGGGGGGGGTTGGTCAATTTATATGTAGAGATGCTGAAATATCATTGTCAATATTTAGCACTTGTAACAATGACCTACACTTTTAGCTTATGAAAGCTTTTGTTTTTGTTTTTCAGATGTTTCTTCATCCTCAGATCCAGGCAACAAAATGTTTTCACATTGTTAAATAGTTGTCAACTTTAGTTGCAATGTTGTACTCATTCTAAATGGATGCTTCAAAAAGAAACAAAAGAACTCAAAACTATTTGATATCTTGTATAATTTATTTAGGTATCTCTCATTCAGAGATTTTTTTACAAGTTCATTTGGTCCATTTGATGATGATGTTCATGTTATTCTATCGATAAACGCTACAATATATTTGAAGACAGCATTTAGTAAATAGATATGCTAAGATAACAAAATATTTTTTTACATAATAAAAAAATAGATGCTTGTTATAGTGCAAAAAACTTACATATGGTAATTAAGAAGGGAATTTACAAGGTTATTTTACCTCAAAAAGGTTCTTAGGCACATCATGTTTCAAGGATACATATGGAAGCTGAGATAAATAATTATTCTTTACGCAATCAAAAACTAGATGTTTGTTAAAGTGCGACAAAATATCATACATATATGGTGACGATTATTTTACCTTGAAAAAGTCACATCAAGGATGCATATTGAAGCTCAAACTCATCCCTTGCTTACCTGCAAATTTGCTAAGTCTCAAGTCAAATAATACTGTTCATTATGAAAGTGAGTTGTACTCAGTATAAAAAATGTGAAAAGTAAACTTTATATAAAAATTTGTTCCATTCCTTCAAGTATAAAGTATAAACAATACAGATGGTTAGATACTTCCAAAATAATGGAATTAAAATACACTGCTCTTATATTGCATCAACTTTGATTTTCTTTACTCCTCATGCTCTTCATAAGGATTATCCCTTAAACTTTTTTGGAGGGGATTTTCCAGATATTATCTTTTAATTAATGCTGGATAATCAAGGTTTGGTCAATGTAATATGTTTAGATTTTCTTATGGAATAGTGTATGCAGGTTGGTGTACCACCTTATATATATATATATATATATATACACACACACACGTAGAGAGAGAGAGAGAGAGAGAGAGAGCTATAAAAATTCCTTGCTGGAAGCATGGCATGCCATATATAATTTATTAGCACATCTTGATTAAGCTGGTTATTGATGCTCACATGACCATGACATAGCCAACTCTAATGTCAAAAGGTTTTGAGTTTTAGTTTCAAAACTAGCAATATAAGCTTTGGCTTTGGTAGCTTTGATCCCATTTATAACACCTAGGTAATTATTTAAATTCTAATCCTCAAAATCATATCAGACAGTTCCTCATTAATTGTGTTATAAGAGAATGTCACTCAAACTCTTTTAACTTTACAACCTGCAATCGTAGTTGAGTCAGCACTATTGACTCACTAATTGAGTCGAGAGTTCAATTACCCACGAGTTTGGTAAATAGATAAAATGGAGAAATTAACAAAATAAAATCAATTAAGCTAGTAGATTTGGATTCAAAAAAACTGTGTAGTAAGTTGGTCATCTTGATGCTATTTAATGTGAAGACTTGCTTTTTATTAGTGTTCAACAATGGATGCTAGGTGTTTGGTAGAGCAAACATGAAGTGTTTGGTGCAACAAACACAAGGCACTAATTCCCATTAAAAAAAAATAAGATTGGATTAGAGTGTCTATATCGTAGTTTGTTTTAACTTTTGCTTTGAACAAAGACAATTTTAATCTAAAATTAAGAAAAAAAATTGCAGAAAGTAGAACACTACATGGCAGGATCAAGTTCGTTTATTGAAGATTGATTTGTGGTAGTCATTTTTAACAAGGTTTTTATTGTTTGACAACAATCCACCGACAAAAATCAACCCATAGTAACATGGTCTAAGTGACTTTTGAGTTTGTACAAGGCTACCTTGTAGGTTGACACATTTTAATGGATAGGATCTTGTCAATTCAGATCTTCCATTTCTGATTATGTTGCTCAAGCTAGCTAGGAACTCAAAAAGATATATTTCTATTGAATTGAATAATTTTTTAGTCAAAGGCATAATATATATAAAATCTCTATTATTACTATTTTTTGTTTAATAGTTAGAGGTATTTAGATCAACTTACGCGCACACCCGACTAATTTTTTTCGTGATCTGATCAAAGATAGGTCATTCACGTTAAAATTAAAATATTTATGAGGGATAAATCTTTTATGACCTAGCTCTAGAAAATTGTCAAATCAAATTTAAGAGATTTGAATTTATAACTCGTCTTTTCTATCACTTGAGTAGTTGATTTATATAAAATCTATATTCACATGCAAGAGAAACTTGCACAGTTGTTCTCCAACAAAAAATAAATTGATATTTCTGGGAAACTTGCATAGGCAAGCAAAAATATGTTCCAGTTGAATCTGGTTTACAGTATGTGGAGACAAACCCAATTCTTGAGAAGGGTCTGGTCATCTAAAGTATCAAAACATGAATCACAACTGAAAATAAATTGATGAGATCAAACAGTTGTATTACTTCTTACTGTTCCATGAAATCATGTATCCTCTTGAGTGCAACTTCTAGTGTTTTCTCACTCATGTTTGCAAAGCAAACTCTGAACCAGCCGGGTTCCGAACAATGGCAAGAAGACCCTGGTGATATATTTAGCTTCACTTCCTGCAGTATTGAGTTCCAAAGAGCCAATTCACAGTCTCTTGTGGGCTTCTCCAACAATGAACTTAAATTCATCCAGCAAAACAACCCCGCGTTTCCTCTCAAGCACTCGATACCAGCATTCCTCAAGCCATCAATGATGGTTTGGTATCGCTTTGTCAACCTTTCTCGATTAGTCTTTATGTAGTTCTCTGTGAACTTTTTGTCAGACAACATTGAAGCTAAAAGTTGCTGTGTTTGAGAAGAAATCAAGGTGAAACTAGACATTCTTCTTGCTGTTGTGACGACCTTGTCATTATACGAGTATATAGTCCCAACTCTGAAGCCAGGGAGGCCGAGATCTTTTGAAAGGCTATACACAATGTGCACTCTCTCTGATTCTCTATTGTTACGGGATTCGAGAACTTCTGCAATGCTGACAAATTCAGAAGAAAGAAATGCTGATCCCGAGTAGATTTCATCAGAGACAAGATGGATGTTTTTGAGAGTGACAAAATCAAGAATATCTTCGAGGACTGATCGTTGAATGGTTGCTCCTAATGGGTTTGATGGGTTGGTTATGAGTACCCCTCTCACTTTAATGTTCATGGCTTCTGCATTATTGTATGCTTCTTCCAAAGCTTGAGGAGTGACCTGAAAATTGTTGGTACTGTCACAGTGGACTGGTACAATTTTCACTCCTGTTCTCCACCTCAAATCTCGATCAAATCTGTAAACATCCAATGAAAACGTTTGTTTAAGACTCGACTCTCAACTCAACTGAGCGTTGTCCCAATTATTTCAAAAGCTGGTTCTTACCCCGGATAGTAAGGAGTTGGAACAAGCAAGGCATCGCCAGGATCGGCCAAAATGAAGGTTAATAGCTCGTTAGCAGCCGTAGCGCCTGCTGTTAGAACAATTCTTTCTGGATTGAATTTGGCTCTTCCCCCTCTTATTTGTTCCATGAAACTTGCCATTGCCTGTATTATTGCACAAGTATTATTCTGTTAGGAATACATGTTAGAGTTTAAACGACCCCAAATAGTTGGGACAAGAAGGACAAGTTGATTTAAGTCGGGAAACATATAAGGTAGATGATACCTTTCTGAAAGATTTTAGGCCATGATAATCTTGAAACAAAGCATTCTCTCTAAAGCCAGAAGTTCTACTTCCCCAGCTAGTTTCTTTTGAGTGTTTTACCCAGTATTCTTCTAGCAAATCAAATGAAACCTGTCCAAAAGAACAGTCAAGGTCACTTGGAAGTTCTATTAAACTAAAACCTTTAAAATGAAGTCTATCAAAAAGGTTTTAATCTTTGGAATTGTTTCAATACTTACTTGATTTTCTGCCAATCCCATCTGAATGACGCCAGATGGGTTGTTTGATTCATCATAAGGGTCTTCATCATATGCTTTCCATCCTGCAAAATATGGTGAGTCCTCTCCATGAGTTTCAGAAACTGCTATTTTTGATAACCCAACAGAAGGGTGCTCAACCTCTATGACCATAACTAGCTTTTTTGTGCAAGTATATGATCTTTCTTTAGAGAAAGCTGTTGTGTAGAGAGATGAAAGCTGAAAGAGAGAACTGTTGATTGAAGCCTTCGTCGAAGACCATTTATGTAGGAAGGCTTAGACACAAAAGGGACCCTACGCTTACATGGGGTTATAAAATTCTCTTCAAAGAAAGCAAAGGAACCAATGATTGATTCTGTAGAGTAAGCAAGATCAAAGCTCACCTTTTAAAAGTATAGTTTTCATCACTGGTGACAACTGTTAGCTTCTGTCATCTTTTCAAAGCTTTCTATATCTCAATCTCGAAAAGATCCATCAACTAATGTGGTGGTTGATGGGGTGGGTGTTTTCACTTAAAGGTCCCCATTTCTGACTTTCTTTTTAGCTAACGGGCAATTTCTTTTTTTCTTCACAGTTACAATTTCACTCTCTGAATGTTTTGTATTGGTGAGTTGAGTTCTCTCTAAAACTCCTCACATCCCAACCTATGACCAATCAATTCCTTGCTCATAAAATCCTATTGGAAACAAAAATCATAATTGCATGAAAATAATTGAGGAGATCTAAGAGTGGTTAAGTTTCTGATGGCATGACAAAGATACCAATTTGCACAAGATTAAGATTCTGATTTTGCAGTCCAAGGTGAGACAAAATAGAAGCTCTGATAAGATATGATGTCCCCACACTTTTACTAGTTCAAACAACAGAATTTATTAGTACTTCCATAGAGATTTTAAGGATTCTAATCACAATGGTCATGATCTAATCATTGCTAATCACCATCTAAGATTTTTATATTTTTTGATCAGATGTACCCATAGGATTTTTCGACAGCTCCTGCTGCTTCCTCTCCATTCTTGCTTCTGGAAAACCCTTAACCCTGCTTGCTTGCTAATATTTGCAGCATGAATATTGGGAGACCATCTGTTTTCAAATACGGCACACAATTCATAAATTAGGAATGCATGAAATGACTTCAAATATTTAGAACATATCTCGCATACATTGAGATGAATGGGCTAAGCACTTTACAAATGCATAAACACATAGATTAGTTCATGTTTAGGTATGGATGTGGAGGCATGTCTAGATGTTGGAGTTGGAATATCTGAGGGTGGACCCGGAATATTTTCTTTGTTTTGGAGGGGTGGGGGTATGGGGAATTAAAGAGAATATTAGAACTTTTTTCTTGCCAACAAACAAATCTCAAAGGCATATATATGGTTGAGCCTCTAAAGTTGCTGGGGCTTCAAAAGAGTTTTCGACAGTTTGGGGGCTATTGCATCTGAGTTGAGATTCTGTGGTTTGTGTGGATTTCAACCAACTACCCAAGAGAATAAACAATATCAAAAGGGAAAAAAAAAAGAAAAAGAAAAAAGAAAGCAATAACAAACTTTGATGATAAGATCAAGAACATGCATGCTTGTATATTTCATTGACGTGGAGCTCAAGATCACAAAGATCCATGTGCGAGGAATAAGAGCATGAGATTTGTCATTAATAGATTTCATGATAAAGCAGAAAGATTGAGAGAACGTGAAAGGAGTAGTTGATGAGGACTGTTGTTCCACGACTTCAGCCTCAGCCAGCGGTCTTCACCAAATGTCAGTACTTTGTTGTAGTTCCATTATTTTTTTTTGTTTTGGGTTAATTATTGGAGTACTGTTTCTTACTTGAAGGTCCTCTTTAACTGCTGAAAAGAACCAAATCATTGGTTGCAAAGCTTGAAGTTGGTTGAATATAATTTCTCATGCTCCTCGAGCAACGAACCACCACCCAAGGTCCCAACTGAAACTATCTAAAATGTATAAAACTGTGTTTGTGCGCCTGTGTGTGCGAGAGAGAGAGAGAGAGAGAGAATTGACATCATTTATCTTTCACTATTTACTTGTAAAAACAACTCCGCTTGGGTCCCTTTTCAATACCTATATTTTGCGTCGAGCCATGCTATTGAAATATAATTTATGAATATAATTTGAGTATATAATGAATTATCACAAATAATATAATAATAAATTTATTAATCCTACAATGAGACCTATCATTAAATATATTTTACTATCATTTCATTAATGACAACTTATTATGTCTTTTAATTATGTCTTAATAGCATTAGTATTTTGCATTATAGATTCAAGGAGACGACTATGGTACTTAAATTCAAAATTTCGGTATTATCACATTTGTAGTAATTTTTCACATATTTATGGGTAATTTTATTACTGTTGTGTAGGCCTAGCAATCGTGTTAAGTGGAAAGGTTTCATGTCGGATGAAACGAGTTTGTGTCAAAAAATCCTCAATCCATACCCCATTTATTTATATAAACGAGTCCAACTATTACATCCATACACGAATCATTTATTGGATTAGTTACCCGATATAACCCGTGTGTCACCCGTTAAATAAGATAATAGGATAGAGCATTTCGAGTACACACGAAAAATCATCAATTTGTTATACATTACATATGTTTGACTTATTTACTAAAACAATAAATCAAGACCGAGCAAAAAAATAAAGACAAAAAATAAACATTAAATGACTACTAAATTTGAATGAGTTTAAGAGATAGCAGGTGTAAGATGAGACAGAGGCTCAGAGACCTAACTTTTTTTAAAAAAAATTATAGTACAACTATTAACGGATTGAAACGAGTTTATGGGTTAAACACAAAACCAATTCATTCATTTTCTGGGTCTGCCGAGTTAACTCGTTAACCACCCGAATCCATTAAGACTGCACCCAAACCCGCTAAATCCGTGTCGGATTTGTGTTGGTTTCACGGGTCGTGTCTAGAATTGTCAGGTTTATTGTTGTGGTACCCAAAAAAATAAAAAAAAATATTTATCACAACAGTGATAAAAATATTCACAAATGTTATAAAACTATTCATAAATGTAATAAATCACCCAGAAAGATGATAATTTTTTTCTAATTAAGAAACGTGGTAAAAATAATTACCACAAATATTGTAAAAATACTCACAACAGTGGTAAAAACACCCACAAAAATGATAAATCAACCACAAAAATAATAAATATTTTAGTTGTAAAATAACTCATAAAAATTGTAAAAATACCATTTGAAGCAATAAATTTTAGAGGTGTGAAACTAAAATTTTTTTTAGCTATCATAGTCAAGTCCTAGATTCAAAGTCCGGATACCGGAGAATTGTGTTATATAGATTCAAAGTCCGGATATAAAAGAATTGTGTTAAATAGTTGATCAAATATAACTCGAACATGAATCATAAGAATAATATGGCTGTGTGTGCGCACAAGAGAGGAAGAGAGATTTATCTTTCACTATTTACATGCATAAACATCGTTAGTTTTATCAATGGACCTTTGATTTAATGATATTCATTACCTTGTAAAAGTTTTACCTTCTTGAAATCAAGGGTTCAACTCTTCTTCTCTCTCTCCCTCCCCCAAAAAAATAATAAAAAAATTAACAACGTAAGCTTCATGTAATTGATTAAAGCTTTTGATTTGTATCCTAATACTTCTATTAGAACAAGCACAGCATTCTTCATTAATAATGCAAAGGAATCACCGGAAACGACTTTTACGTCATAAAAAGACAAAAAAAAAATCACTAGACCATCCACTGTTAATTATTGTGTTAGGTATTTTCAGAAAATAATAATATCATGACAACATTGATGAAGAAGTTTCTATTCCCCAGTGGATTACAACTTAGAGGCAGCATACATGTCAGAAATTTTAAGTGTCATAGGAAAGAGACAGGACATTTGACTATATAGAATGTAGCAGACAACTGGACTACTTGAAGATGTTTTTCAACATCATCGCATACTAATTTAATCTAAACCCACTACTTATATGTCGAATTCGTTTTACGTTCATGTCTATGGTTGCTAAGTCTAGTGTTAGGTTAGGTATACATGTACCAGCATTGGTGAAGTGGGGTTTATTCCTCAGTGGACTACAACTGAGAGCTAGGCAAGTAGTCAGTGAAGCGACCCATAAATTATGGGAGTTTCAATCGAAGGACACAGGACAATTGGCTACAAAGCAAGCAGACAAGTGGACTACTTGAAGAGGCTTTTGAACATCACCACATACTAATTTAACCCAAACATGCTAATTCAATGTTGATTACGTGTACGGTTCATGGGTCGTGCCTATGTTAGGTATTTCTTGAAAGAAACATTACAGTACCGGCATTAATGAAGGGGCCAGGGGGGTTTATTCCCCAGTGGACTACAACTGAGAGCTAGACAACAAGTCAGTGAAGCAACCCAGAAATTATGGGAGTTTCACAGGAAAGAGACAGGACAATAGGATAGGATACCTAAAAAGCAGACAACTGGACTCCTTGGATAGGTATTTCTAACAACATCACATACTAGTTTAACCTAATAATGCATGTCTTAGGGATCAAACAGGAGACAAGTTTAATTGTAAACAGCTCACAATGTCCATGTAGTCGCAGTAAAGGACAATTGGGATCCCTTTATGTTGCACTAATGGACTCCTTGGATAGGTATTTCTAACAACATCACATACTAGTTTAACCTAATAATGCATGTCTTAGGGATCAAACAGGAGACAAGTTTAATTGTAAACAGCTCACAATGTCCATGTAGTCGCAGTAAAGGACAATTGGGATCCCTTTATGTTGCACTAATGGACAGCAAGTGAAAGAGACTGCTCATGTTTTATAAATGGAATGAATCCAGTAGGGCAAGGGTGGTTTCAAGAGATCATTCTTCTTATTTTTATTGGTTATTAAGTAATGTTGTCCAGAGGAGTGATTTTAATGAATGTGGAAACAACAAAATGGCTTCGAGAAAACTCTGTTCATGGGTTCTCACATAATGTTGTAACGAATGGGTGCTTTAAATGATTGTAAAGACAAAAATACTTCCAAGTAGGGCAAGGCTTGTTTCAAGAAAGATTTTCATGTTGTTCTCATAGATTCTTAAGTAGTGCGGGTGATTTGAATGATTGTGGAAAAAACCAAATA